TTTTATATCCTGCATCTCAAGACTCCCGTTTGGTGATTCACAACTCATATGGAGGTCTGACCACAACTTTGGAAACCAGATTAAGGGTTTTATTGGGGAATAGCTAAATTAGTTTAATAGAATGTGAAGGACGCCCCCCACCCCACCCCCCTTCAGCTTGAACGCCTGTGTGATAAAAATGCACAGCCTTTGCATCAGTGGGTCTATTTAGACATTCCCAGGTGTTTTATTGATCAGAAACCAATATGTACAGTCCAGGTGACAGGCTGGACAGCTGACTGCACTGACTGAGATTGGTGTTGACAGCTAGGAACACCATGCATGCGCTGTGGGCTGTGAATGTGTACATGGTCCAGGTCTATAGAGTGTGTAAGTCACTGTTGCGGTAACGATTCTAAAAATAGCACAACTCGTAGCCAAAGGCTTGTTGCTTTCCCCCAGAATCAGCCAGGTCTTGCTTCGCGGCTGGCCACAGCAGGTATGATATCAAAGCCTCAAAATTGTTTGGATCCGGTCGGCCAGCTGGTGATGCCGGGAGACAGCAAGGTCGTCTGGGTTATTTGGACGAATCCGGCGGAGRTGCAGTTTGTGTGCCTCTGCGCTTTGTTTGTTGTCAAGTAGGTCCATCTGGCGGGCAACAGGAGGACTGCTCGTTTAGCTGTGGTACTTTTTTTTTTTTTTTAATATATAACTCTCACCTTCATCTGCTATTCTACATTTATCCCCTGAGCCATCTCGTGACACACTTCTTTCCTTCCGCGTTCAAGTCCGGATGCTGGGAAGTGTTAGTTTGAAAGGTAACAAGTGCTGCTGCAGGGAGCTGCAAAATGATGACATGATTTACAAAGTATTTAAAATAATAACTCTAAAATAAACATGCATTTAAATGTATCTGTTTGTGCCCACCCTACCACCCCAAAATAAATTGCGTGTACATGTGTCCGTGTTTATGACCGGTAGTAATGCCCACCCGCGGAGCTCATCAGCTCTCCCCACAGTGAGTGGAACTCAAGCCCCCGGCCGAACACCGAAGAATAGCGGTCGTTAAATATTCATCCTCGGTTCCCGGTGGCACACTTCTCCCCGCAGACCGACCCCTGCTGCTTTCAGCTGAGGCCATGAGCAGGGAAAGGCGTGGAGCTACTTGTGAGGTGCGATTAGGATTAAGAAAATGTAAACGGGATTATTATTGACTTTTTTTGTTTAGTTTATATTTTTATTATTATTATTCCCTCTTGTTAACCTGAAAGAGGATGGGGAAACGTGACTATGGACCACCAGCAGGATCTCTAGAGGTAAATTCTGAGGAGCAGTCTTCTTTTTTTTTAATCATCACACCAGTGTAAAGTTGGTCTGCACCTATTATACTGTGCTCTTCTGTAAAATAAATGTTTACCTTCCTTGTCACTACATAGTAAAATACTGAAAAACGAATCTATAAGTAACCAGTAGTGTGTTGCAGAAGATTCTTGCAGCAGCTCCAAACCTATCAGCACTGCTGCAGGTGTTGAGCTGCTCCACTAGATAGCAGCAGATTGTTGTGTGTATGTGTGTGCGTTTGCGTGCGTGTCAGTCTCGTGCGTTCACTGACAAATATGATTTCTTGCCCCCCCCCCCCCACACACACACACACACAGAGACCCTAAAAAAAGGAGAAGAATCTGAATGCTTTTGATGAGCATCATCAAGCGCACCTCTGTCATAATTTTGCTTTATTCTGCAGGCATGCGTCCCAGCCTCTCTGTGTTGTTTCCTTCTTTACAAATTCCTATCAAAAGATGGAGGACCACCTGCCAACAGTGATTGCTTTGGGAAAGGAAGAGATGGCTTCAGCTCAGAGCTTTTCACATTTGATGGGAGTCTTTTCATACTCCTTCAAAGGCACATGTGCAGTTAGACACAAACTTGAAAAAGAAAAAAAATCT